GGAAGAGAGAGAGAGAGAGAGAGAGAGGGAGAGAGGAAAAGCAAACTTGGAGAGACTTAGGAGAAGTTTGAGAGCAGGGGAGGCAGAGGGAGTTATAGAGAGCTTCAGTGTGAGAGACTAGGAGTGGGGAATAGTTGAAGATAGTCAACAGCTTGCTGTTATCTTATCTTCTCTCTTGCAGCTGTCCTGCTTGTTAGCTGTGGCATATGTGAGCAGTGTGGCCCTAGCTGTGGCATCAGTGGCTGTAATACACCAGTCCTTGGGGCTGTCCTGCAGCCCCTCACCAGGTCCTCCTGACCTCATACTGGTTTCCAAAGGCCTCTTGCAGTCCTGCATACATTCCCCCGTGCCGCAGTGCCTGACTAATGTCTCCAGGTGCCAGGAAGACAATGTAGAGTTGCCGTCACTCTGGGGCAGTCTTCTGGCCTCACTGACACCCCCTCCGGTACCTCCCCCAGACCCTCCTGCCCCACCTACTCCTCTCCACAAATGTCCCTTTTGCGAGAAGTTCCAGAGAACCCCCCCTAACTGCCGTGCCTGCCACCAGCCTAACCGTACTGTGTCTATTGGCCCTTCACGTCCCTTTTACCATACCCATGGTTTGGCCCCACCCTGGCTCTGGAGCCCAGTATCCCCTCCATTCCTCCAACCCCAGCAATGTTCTCTTTTTAGTGTCATGGAGCTGGCCCGTCTCAAGTCTTTCATTTTCCCAGGCTAGGTAGGGTTCTGAGGAATGCATTAAGAGGGCTTGGGAGTCCCTAAGAACCTGGAAGAGGATTTAGATTTTTGCTACCTTTCTGGGTCCTTGGCTAGTCTCCTGTTCTCCTGGGTAGGAGCATAAGGGGTTATGGGGGCAGAACAAGGTCATTCACCCTCTTAGACCACAGAGGCTGGCTAGTAGGCTAGGACACTGATGGTGCCAGCGACCGTTTCAGCTCAGTGACCAGAGGCTTGTCACAGATGACAGAGAAGCAACTACCTTTCTGCCTTCTCAAGCCTGGGGTAGGGGATAGACTTCTGCTTTTGAGTTTCCAGAGATGGAAAGGTAAAGGTGGGAGGTGTGGGGAGTGGGTGAGGAGAGGAAGGGACTGTTCATGTGGTTCTGTTTATGTGATGTCCTTGAGGCAGGAAAACCAGGGATGGATGGTACAAGATGGGAGCAGCTGAGGGAAGGCTTCTTGAGGCAGGAAGCTTGCCACACCCATCCCTTGGATGTAGTTGTCACAGCCAAGGATTGTTGGGTCCTTCAACCTTGTCCTTTTGTCTTCCAACCTTAGCATCCTCCAAGGCTTCCCACTCGACCCGTTCTTTTCTAGGTGTTCTCTTTACAGGCCTCTCTGGATACCACTGCTTTGTATCTGAGTTTTTCACGCTTTTGTAGAACTGAGGTTTCAATAAACAGTTTGTGTTGAATGGCCTGGCCTTTTCCTTCTGCGTCATCCTTTGCCTCCCAAGTCAGATGCACCATCCCAGCAACGTGTAAGCATTCTCTCTGAGCTCTGTTTCAAAACTTGTTAGTTTGGTAGTTATTCCTGTTTCAGGCTTTCCTGCATCCCTGCTGATACTACCTCAGGGGCCCTGAAATGGCTGGATGTGGCATACCATGGGTACCTACCATGCTGACTGTCTCTGGCTTGGGAAGGCCTTGTCTGTTGTTGTGCATCCTGGGTGGGTACCAGCCTTGTGGATCCTTATAGTATCAAAATATACCAGTTGAGCTCCTAGAATGCAAGCCTGCTTACTTCACCAAGGTGACTCATTGAAGTAGTTGGTGTTGAAGAACCAGAGCTGGGTCATCAATGGAAGAACAATCTCTGGTGTGTTTGGACTGCTAGCTGACTGCCAAAAATCATTTAGGGAGTATGGGGGGTAGGAGTAGAGGTCAGTGGGCTGTTGGGTGCTGCTGCCCCCAAGGGTCATTATGGACATGTACTATTTTTTTTTATTTATAATCTTTGGGAATGCTACTGGCATTTGTCCAGCTTGAGTGGATGCTAGACACCCTAAAGGGCTTAAAACCTTTATTATGGACGGTTCCCAAGACTCCATCATGCATATAAAAATCCTGTTTTTATGAGCCTGGAGTTACCTGATGTTGCAAATGGCCTCACGGGGTTCACTGATCTGGAATTTGCTACCCACTTTCATCTGCCTTCAGAGGTTGGGACACAGGCATGTGGCACCACCCATAGCCAGTTCAAAAGTTTTTTGTTTTGTTTTGTTTTTTTGTTTTTTGTTTTTTCTGAGACAGGGTTTCTCTGTGGCTTTGGAGGGTGTCCTGAAACTAGCTCTTGTAGACCAGGCTGGTCTCGAACTCACAGAGATCTGCCTGCCCCTGCCTCCCTAGTGCTGGGACTAAAGGCGTGCGCCACCACTGCCCAGATTTTTTTTCTTTTTTTTGGGGGGGACGAAAGTTATTTTTTAAGTACAAACATGAAACATTTTTGTGCATTTTGGAAAAAAATAAAAATAAAAAACAACCTGGGGACTCAAACCTATACAAAGAATTAAACACAAAGAAGGAATACTGGGAGAGAGAAAAGTCTTCCCCAGGGAATAGCATACCAATTGGTTATCCAATAACAAATTGTCAGCTCTGGAAACATACCTACGAGTAACATTGTACAGACTGAGCAGTTTATAGTTAGTAATGTATATATATCTATTCATGTCATAACACTGAAGAAAAGGTCTGGAGTACAATTGAAGAGAGGGAGGAGTGATAATATAAACAAAGGAGTTAAGACCATGATGGGGAAACCCACAGAATCAGCTGACCAAAGCTAGTGAGAGATCACTGACAAATGTCTTACAAATGGGGAACTTGCATAAGACCGAATTAGACTTCCTTAATGTAGGTGACAATGGTGTGACTGGGACAATATGTGAGGCCACTGGCAGTGGGTCCAAGATCTAACACTAATGTACAAACTTAGTGGAACCCATTCTATATGGAGAGATACCTTGCCCAGCCTAGACACAGGGGACTGAGGGTGGAGAGGTGCCTTGGTCCTGCCTCAACTAGATGATGGGACAGACTTAGATTTCCTAGGGGAGGCCTTAGCCTCTCTGAGGAGCAGATGGGAGGAATTGGGGGTGGGGAGAGTAGAAGGAGAGGAGGGAGGGGGAACTGGAACTGGGATTGGAATGTAAAAAATTAAAAAAAACAAAAAACTCTGTTTCTTCTTCGCTCTCTGTTTCTGCTTCTCTTCTCTCTCTCTCTATGGCGACCGGCCATGGTGGTCAGCCATCACCC